ATACTTGTGTCTGAATAACAGTGCTCTGCTTAACTATCTGTAAATGAATGTGGTTTGCGTTGTCTTCATGGAGTCGAACCAGTCGATGGAATTAGATTTGTCGAAGGGTGCGCGTCCCAGCGATGAGCAACCTCACGACACTGCCACATCCCGCTGCTGCCTTGTTCGTGCCAAATGCACGCAGGTCTTGGCATCCAACTTAACGCGCAACAACGAGATTCAGACCTCATACCGTCACATTTACGCATTTAAGAAGAAAAGGAACCGACTTAAGCCGCACTCGTGGGCGGTGCGAGCGTGAGCAGCGGCCGATGGGTCTCCATCGACGCTCGCAATGGGTCGTTGTAGCCGTCCTCATCGTTCTACGCCCAGTGTAAGAGGTGGCTTGTCGGCAGAGAGCGCCGCACCATTTTGCGCCGCGTCGCCATCTCGCGCAGACGGCTCGCCACCTCGTTGAAGCCCGCGTTCTGGGCCTTTGTCCATAGCGTCACGCCCATCTACGTATGTGCGAGCACATGAGAGGCAAGAGGTCGTTTCCGCTCGGTCGTACAGCGTCCAGGATGCTCACATCCACATCGTCCGCGTCTAGCAGGATGGGCAGGAGCTGCTGCTGGCGCCGGTCGAGGGCCACATGCAACGGCGCCACGTTCATCTACAGGGCGCCTGGTTGGCGCTGGCGGCTGTAGCGCAACAGACCTGGTCGGTCGCGTTCACATCGACTTTGGCGCGGACAAGTTCGCGGACCATGTCGACGTCGCCACCTTCGATCGCTAGCGTCAGCACCGACCGCCCCATCTACGCCGTTCCTTCTGCATTGTCGATCGGGATGGCGAGCCTACCTCGTTGCGACGGCCGAGGTCGGTCGTCGGCGCGCGAATGAGCTCGATGGCCACCGCGTACTGCTTGGCCGCGATCGCTTCGTGCAACAGCCCTTCGTTCGACTAGCGACAACTTGTCTGCATTCTGCACGCACTTTATTGGCGAGTACCTCGTTGGGACTGGCGCCAAGACGCAGAAAATACTGTGTCTGCTGAGCGTCACCAGCGCGCACGGCGAGGCCGAGGCACATGGCCTAGTGCGAGTCTTGAGAGCCATATATGACGCACGCGCGTCGACGCACCTTGGCCCGCGCCGCCGCGCGCTGCTCGCCGGGCGTCAGCGCCGGGCGCTACACAGCGATCCAACAAAGCATGAGCTTCGTCCGACGTCGTCGTCGTGTCAGCGTACGTGGCTAGCGACCACGTCCCAGGCCAAGAGCTACGCACGAATGTGAGGTCAGAAACAACGTCAATGACGGACCTTTGGCTCGCCGTCGACGCTCGGATTGGCCAGCAAGAGGGCGTCGACGACTGCCGCGTGGTTGGCGCGGGCGGCGTACGTCACCGCTCGGCACATGTCCTACGCGCTCGTCGTGAGAGATCTTGGTTTTCTTGGATTGCCATGGCTACGCTGCGCAGCATCCACGCTTGCACCGTCAGGAGCACGCGGACGACACCGACGTGCCCTCGCGCGGCGGCGCGGCAGAGTGGTGTCTCGCCCGCCTACGCCAACATATCCCGTCATCATCCTCTGTCATGACTTCGAGGCAGCTCCATACGCTGTCTTTGCCGTTGACGTCGGCGTTGGCACGCAGCAAGAGCTGCACGACGGACGCATGGTCGTTGCTCGCGGCCAGCGCCAGCGCCGACGCGCCATTCTACTTGCAGTGAGGCGGCCGTCGTAAGCAAGACGCGGATGCGTACAATGCTCGTCTTGTGCACATCTGCGCCGGCGCGGAGCAAGAGAGGGATGACGTCGCCATGGCCGTGCTCGGCGGCAATGCACAGCGGCGTCGTGCCTTCCTACATGTCACCGTGCAGTCGCATGCATGGTCCTTCGAAAGCATCGCAACGTACGAGGTCGGCCTTGTTGACGTCCGCGCCAGCGTCGAGCAACATCGCGATGATGGACGCGCGGCCTTGGGCGGCCGCTTCGTACAGCGGTGTTTCGCCCATCTAGATCGCGTCGTGAATGCAAGGTGGTTGCAGCTGGATGTATCGTAGTACGTACGTCGTTGGGCTTGTTGACGTCGGCGCTCGCGTTGAGGAGCAGCTTGACGACGCCAATGTGGCCGTTGGCCGCCGCGCGGTACAAGGCGGTCGTGCCGTTCTACGCGTCGCGTGCAGCACCCGGCCCCCGATCGGATCACACAACCTCGTCCGTGCGGGCGTTGACGTCGACGCCGCGCTTGACGAGCTTCTGGACTTCCTTGTGCTGGCCAGCCGCGGCGGCGCTCAAGAGCTTCGAGAGGCCCTAGCACACCACGCACGTCAGGAGCATCGTCGATGCCATCGAGAGGACGTACAGTGCCCATGTCGTCCAGAGGTGTTTTTGTCGACTGGCTCGCACTTTCCGAATTGCGATCTTCGAGTATCTTTTTTGATGACAGAAAAAGGCCAGTGCGAGGGTTGCAGTGGTCGGCGGCGCCCTTGAAGGTGGTCGCCTTCGATGACGATGCGTCGTCCTGATGGGCTGGCCCATGGCAGACAAGGGCGCTTGTTCAGAGCATCAACGTGGCTTGATGAGAGCATGAGCATGGGCATGGCTCGTCCAGGAATGCCATGGGCAAAGACGTCGCGGCTTGAACGGGACGAAATCGTTCGACGCCAACGAGCTTCCGCACAGCAGCGTACCTCAAAGGCTCTCCAACGTTCTCTTGATATCCGAGCCTGGCTACTCCATGTACACTGTATGGCGACGTCGCTCAGCTTCTTCAGTAGCAAGCAGAAGCACATAGTACATACCTCTGCTGGACATTTCGTGGCCTGGCGACATGTTGAAGATCTCGAAAATAGTGCACCAGAAAAATTGGAGCTGGTGGACTTCACGGGGCCGATGCAAGCATTTACACAGCAACATGCCCAGCAGAATTTTTGATGGGGCACCTCGGGGCGCGTGAGAGGGGTCCGTGGGACGCGAACGCCAGCTGTCGCGATGGCCGGCGCGTCAGCAACCGCCCTCTGGCGCGTCAGACACGGTTGGCACCAGCTCGGACGACGTTTTGGTCGTTGGATGCGACCAAGGTTGGTGGGGCTACTGCTAGCGCGCGGTTGATAGAGGTAGCAACGATGCGCTGTTTCAAGCGGATGGGAGCTGCGCTGCTGCCTGCGCTGCTTGTCCACAGTCTCGCGCACCCAGCCGTCGCAATTGACTTCAATGTGTTTCGTGACAGCACCCACCGAGCCAGTTGCTAACCACTGCCGAGGCAAACAACGAAGAGCGATGGGCTCGTTCATGAGCAGCGTGGTGCGTCGGCCACTCTGTCGTTGTCGCTTCACAGTGCTCTAGTCACTGTACCAAGCGGTGCTCCACGGCAACAACAAGGACGTCAAGGCGCTGCTTGCCGCTGGCGTCAACCCCAACGCCTATGCCAACGCGAAGGGCGCGACGCCGCTGCTTGTCGCCGCCGACAAGGGTCACGTACAGATCGTCGAGTGGCTGGTCGCTGCCGACGCCAACGTCAACCACCCCGCCGAGGTAGTGTCCATCGCCATCCGACATGCACCTCCTCGATGCATCATCGATCGTATCATTGTAGGGCGGCGTGACGGCGCTCTCGATGGCGGCGCAGCACGGCCATGCCGACGTCGTTGCCCTCCTTCTCAAGGCCCAGGCGAATGTCAACCAAGCGCGCCACGTACCCTTGATCGCACTTGTGTCATGAAATGCAGCATCCATGACGATAGGACGGGTGGACGCCGCTGCTGATCGCGGTCAATGGCGGCTTTGACCGCATTGTCGAGATGCTCTTGGCGGCGAAAGCCAACGTCAACCAGGCGACGGCGGTACGCATCCTTCGCGCGTCCATGCACTCATGCAACGGAGTAGCTCGGGTCGACGCCGCTGGCCTACGCTGCGCAGCACGGCCACGTGAGTATTGTGCGCATGCTCTTGACCGCCAACGCCAATGTGAACCAGCCGTCCCAGGTAGTAGAAGCATGTTCTTTCTCATGGGTTCTCACATGAGAATAAAATGGTCTAGAGCGGAGAAACACCGCTGTTTCTGGCGGCGGAGACGGGCCAAGCGGCGGTGATTCCGTGGCTTTTGCACGCCCACGCCGAGCTCGACAAGGCCGACAACGTGCGCACGTCGCTTGAAAATGACATGACATCGATCACGTTGCTAGAATGGGGTGACACCGATCATGGCCGCCGCTGCCAACAACCAAGCACATGTTGTCGCACTCCTCACGGACGCCAAACAACGAGTGTTGTCGGCGCCGTCGTCGCGGTCCTCGCCGCCATCCAGCACGTCGGTACATGCGCCAACGTGCACAATAATGGGTCCTATTGACATACGATCCTCCTCTAGTCGCTCAAAGTGGTGCCCATGGAGCTCACCGAGATGCGCTGCCAGTCGTGCAACACCCCGAACGCCATGGCCTCCGACACCTGCACCGCCTGCGACGAGCCGTTGCCGTCGGCCGCGACGAAGCTCGCGATTATGCTCAAGCGCGTCGACGGCGCGGCGATCGATGGCGACCTCGCGTGCGCGTTTTGCGACACCTTCAACCCGATGCTTTCGTCTGTCTGCAGCGGCTGCGACGACGCCATGCCCGACGACAAGGCCAAGCTGCGCATCCTTGTCGCGCGGATCGAGAGAGCGGTGCAACACGCATCGCCCCGGCCATGAGAGACCGACGCCGTCGAGTCGCTTGTCGTGTGGTAGCAAGCGCCATCGCTATCGTCGTCGTCGTCGCCGTCGACGCCGAGCGTGCACACTGTGGAACGAACCATTGAATAGCACGGATATGTATATAAACAAAAGTAGCTGATACGCTTATTGCACAGACAGCGGACTGCACTCGGGCGAGAGCGCAACGACGTTGGCTTCGTTGGCGCGAAAGCTGAGGTACGACGACCACACAATGTTGCCGCTGCTCGAGACGAGCGGCCGGAGCGGCAAGGGTGTAAAGCCAAACGTGAGAATGTTCATGGGAATCCAAAAGTAGTTGCCCGCCATCCAGATCGAGGGCGCGCGGTCCAGCGCCTTGTCGACGCCGGAAGCGAACCGGTCTTCGAGCGACCGTGCCTCCTACTCGCATGCATTACAACACCGAAGCGATCGACGCTGCGTACGTGGCGGGTCGGGATGCACCCTGCGTACGAGTTGAAGGCCATGATGCTAATGGGCGCGAACGCAAACTGCTGGACGAGCATCTTCTTCACAATGCTCACGGCGTTCGTGACTGGCCAGAGCGCCTCGAGCCGGCCAAACCAGACGTGCAGGAGCGGGCCCTGGAACGCGAGGCCGTACAGCGACGTCATGCCCAGGCGCGTGGCCGAGAAGGCCTCATCCTCGTCGCGGAAGAGGCTCTGGGCAATGACGTCGCCGACGCCAAAGATAGCGCCTGTCGTCACCGACTTGGTCAGTAGCGGGTGCGACGCCAGCAGTCGGCGGTACATGGCCTGCCCACGAGTCTGCCACTGACGGAATGCATGGGGTTCGTAGCCATTCCGCCGCTTTTGATTGGCCAAACAGTTTGCACTGCTATGCGATTGGTGGAAATCCACGAATCACAGCGCATTCGCAACCGAGGCGACCCTGCCACAACCCACGCCATCTCTCATGGTCAGCGGGCCAAGATATTAATTGATGATCGACAAGATGACAAAATTATGCTGTGTACCATGGTCATCGCGCTTGGCGATCCTCATTTGGAGGACGCCAACGATCTAGTATCTCGTTGCGCCCAAGTCGATTCGAATGCTAGCGACGCGCTGCAGAACGGCCCGGGCAAACCAAACAGCTTGATCTACTATGCGACATTGGAAAGACCTTCGTCCCATCATGCGTCTCTTGCGAGCCGCGCGCCATCCTCCCAGCGCTTGGATCTTGCCGATTTCGGCGGGCTACTGAATGTGGTAACTTTGGCATATCGGATTAAAAATGGTGTTTAAAATTGGCTATCTTCGGCACATGCCATGTGAAACGCGACCCTACGCTGGCAGTTTGCACTTGTAGCCGATGGAACTGCCGGTCGCGCCGGTCGTCCCGTTCGGGACGCTCCTCGGCATCACGGACGGCGGCGTCCACGTCTATTGCTGCGACTACACGACGCTCTCAGACGACGCGCGCGCCAACCGCGACGACTTCAAGAGCGTGCACAACGGGATCACGACGGGCTACAAGTGGCAGTGCGTCGAGCTCGGGCGGCGGTACCTGCTCGTCAACTTTGGCGTCGTCTTTGACAATATCGCGATGGCGTACGACATCTTCCGCTTGAAGAACGTCCGGCGCGTCGAGGACGACCAGCTCGTGCCCATGCACCCGAACGTCAACGGCGAGGCCACCGAGCTGCCCGTGAAGGGCTCGCTCCTCATCTGGAACCCCGTCGGCGAGTTTGAGCGCACGGGCCACATCGCGGTCATCGTGCACGCCGAGAACGACTATGTCGACATTGTCGAGCAAAACGTGGACGACGAGGTGTGGCCCGCCGGCCAAACCTACTCGCGCCGGCTCAAGGCCGTCGTCGACGAGGACTCGGGCGCGTACACGATCGTGTGCTCGTACCCCGACTCGTCGATCCTCGGCTGGATGACCATTGATATGGAG